CGCCGCAGTGCTATCCCCCTGGCTGCCTGCTCCCCGAGATACCTGTGAGGGGAAAGGAGCGACGATGGTGGGGAAGAGGCGTCAAGGGAACAGAGGTGGTGGTTCTCTTCAGGCAGAGGGGGGCTTCAGGAGCTGAGGTACAGGGGTGCAAAGGGACCATTGGGGGCTTATCGTGAGAGGCTGGTGTCTTGGGAGGGCAGATAGGCTGTGGAGCCGGCCAGGGTGAAAGGGGGGATGCTGGGGTGGCTGAGGGAGGGTGAGAGAGACGGCTAGCTGATCATGGGATGGAGGTAATGAGGAGGGTATCGCTGCTACTGTTTCTCTGCCTCGTGCTAGCGTGGTCGCTTGGTGCAGCCAAGCCACATGCGTTGAGAGAGCGGTACTGAGTCCTACCCAAAGGAAACCAAGAAGCAAGCCTGCCTCTCCAGTGAGAGAGGAGAAATTGGGCGCATGAGGGGAGCCTGCTGCTCAATTCCTATGCTCACTCACCAGTTTTTTTAATACATTTATACAAGGAAAGGAAGGTCAAGTGAAATCTTAGGAATGCTGTATTTCTGATAGCCAAAATGAGGCAGTTCTGTGCAAGAGTTGGGGAGTTTACAGATTCACAGATTGGTAGGAGTTGGAAGGGAACTTTGGAGATCATCTAGTCCAACCCCCCTGCTAAAGCAGGATCACCTACAGCAGGTTGCACAGGATCACATCCAGGTGGGTTTTGAATATCTCCAGAGAAGGAGACTCCACAACCTCTCTGTGCAGCCTGTTCCAGTGCTCGATCACCCTCAAAGTGAAGAAGTTTTTCTTCATGTTCAGATGGCACTTCCTGTGTTCCCGTTTGTGCCCATTGCCCCTTGTCCTGTCTCTGGGCGCCATAAAGAAGAGTCTGGCCCCATCCTCTTGACATCTACCCTTTAGATATTTATAAGCGTTGATAAGATACAATATTTATAAACATTGATAAGTTGTGTTTGTATCCCTGCTCCTGCCCTGGGGCTCCTGCTACTAGCGTCTTGGGGGGGAGTTTCATCGAACCAGAGACCCAAATCCTCCCATCTTTGTATTCCCATCCCCCTGCACCTTCCTGCCCTAAAATCTTTCTACCTATTTCCCAAGTCACCCAAAGCCTTTTAGCCCTGAGCTTGCTCTTCCATCCCTCTCAGAAACCTGAACACCCTGTTAAATCATTTCCCAGGGAAGAGACAGTGTGAGTTCACTCTGTTTTGCCGAGGTAGAAGTCAAATCCAATTTATCTTCTCCTGCATAGCTGTTCTAATAACTGGGCTTGGATATAAAAAGCAATATTCTTGAATCTATCTTTGAATGCCTGAATTCCCCCCCTCCCCAAATAAAACTCTTCAGCAAATTCAGCAACATTTAGTGAATCTGAATATATGACACTCTGAACTCAAAAGTAAAGAATCAGAAGTACAGTTGGGGAAAAAGTACACTTAAAGGTAAAAATTGGGGAAAAATAATCCATTTCTAGTTTCCCTGCCTGATAAATTCTTTAGAAACTTTGATATGTAACACTATTAGGTACAGTTAACCTGAAAAATAACATGCTTTTAAAGCAAATATATTCTTTTTGTGAAAGGCAGAACTAGGATTTTTTGTGTATTTCCGTTTCTTAGTAGCTTTTCTTCATCCTTTCAGCACCTGGCCTCAGGTTCATTTTACGTGCTGTTTAATAATTATGAAATAATAATTGCTGAGCATTTGTTTTGTGGTTCCCCGGCCCCCGTGAATGCTTCCCTAAGCATATCCTTTTTTGTCTGATTCTGCATCCCTGTTGGAGGTTGACTTTTTTTTTGTGTAATTGCATTCAAACATTTGTCACGTTGTTTTGCTTGTGTATTTTTACTTTGCTTTACTTTGGTAATTTTTTAAAACTTTTATTTGAAGAGCCAGTACCTCAGTCATAAGAGACTGTCAGAGCAATGGTCTGTTCAATACTGTCTTGAAAATCAAGGCATTATTACGGTTCTCTTGCTTAAACAGTTACTTTAGCTGTGATCACTTGAAAGACCATAAAAAGAAACATTATTTAGGTGCTTGAATGCCTTTAAAAATTACAGTCTAAAGTGCCACAGTAGAGCTGTGACTAGAATCATAGAATCATAGAATGGTTTGGGTTGGAAGGGACCTCAAAGATCATCTCTTTCCAACCCCCCTGCCATGGGCAGGGACACCCTCCACTAGACCAGGTTGCCCAAAGCCCCATCCAACCTGGCCTTAAACACTTCCAGGGATGGGGCATCCACAACCTCTCTGGGCAACCTGTTCCAGTGCCTCACCACCCTCACAGGGAAGAATTGCTTTCTAACATCTAATCTAAATCGACCCTCCTTCAGCTTGAACCCATCACCCCTTGTCCTGTCACTACACTCCCTGATAAACAGTCCCTCCCCATCTTTCCTGTAGGCCCCTTTCAGGTACTGGTAAGCCGCAATTAGATCTCCCCAGAGCTGCCTTTTCTCAACCCCAACTCTCTCATCCTGTCCTCACAGGAGAGGTGCTCCAGCCCTCTGATCAGCTTTGTGGCACTGGCCACTCCTGCACTGGCCCCCCCTGTCCTGGTTCTGGCAAGGATCGAGTTAATTTCCCAAGGAGCCAGGACAGGTGAGCCAAGCTGGCCGGGGGCTATTCCATACCATGTGACATCATGCTCACCATAAAAGGGGGCTAGTTGGGCAGGGGCAGGCTCGGCGTGGCTCCGGGACAGGCTGAGCATCTGGTCGGTCGGTCGGTCAGTCGTGGGATTGGTAAATCGTTCTCTGTTATCACCCATTGTGAATATCTGTTATCAGCACTGTCGATTGTTTCCCTCTCCCTTGCTGTCCCAGTAAACTGCCCTTATCCCAACCCTCGAGGCTTTGCCGTTGTTTTTCCGTTCTCCCCATCCCGCCGGGGGAGGGGTGAGCGAGCGGCGCGTGGCACTTAGCTACCGGCTGGGGCTAAACCACGTCACCCCCAGAGCTGGACGCAGTACTCCAGGTGGGGTCTCACAAGAATGGAGTAGAGGGGCAGGATCACTTCCCTCGACCTGCTGGTCTAAGGCGCTTAAAACCAATGGAGAGAGCCCAGTACTGAAAATAAACATGCTTATCAGCTGAAAAGGCTAGAGAAGGTGGAACTTGCCCTTTTGATACCTGGGACACTTTGGGTGATAAAGCATTACTTTTACTAAGCAGAGGAGTTTTGTGGCATCTGCTGTTTGGACAATTTTAATTATATTATTTACCAAATCTTCTTGAATAGAGATAGCTGGAGTTCCCTGGTTAGGTGGAGCTGTTTCTGTGGAACTGCAGATTCGTTATTTCATTATTTGTTTATCCACAAAAGGAAGACAGGATGTGCAATTGCCATCAAGCTCCACATCTATTATCTTGCCAATAGGCCACACACCTAGAATACCCATGTTAATTCAAATATACCAAATGCCATTGCAGTAATCGTACTAATTTTATTGACATTCTAGTAATCTTACTAATTTTATTGACATTCTAGCTTTTTTTCTAGCTTTTTCATCATGAAAATATCAAATGCAAAGACAAATCCTGTGTTTCTGGGTGCCCTTCCACTTTCTGATCTTTCTGTGTCTTTCTGTAGTCTTTGTACAATATTGTTGATGGGACAAAGAAGTGGACGTCAAGAAAGAAGCAAGAAATTAGAGCTGGCACTAAGCGAGACCGTGATGGCAGAAGCAAATGTACAAAATAGTAAAGAGGAAGCCAAAGAGCCGAAAGCCAAAGACCAGAGGTTAACATCAGTCTTTGGTGTGGCAGACTTAAAAAATGGTAATAATGTTTTCTCTGCTCTTCACTCTCATATTTTCTGTTTCTAATGCCTGCTGTTCCATTCTTTGTCCTTAGGCTTCATTTTCTCCTATTCTTTACCTCTTTGCTGAGGAATATACAGATGATTCTCATTTTGCCCTGCCAAGTAACCATTCTGTTTTTTTGGGAAGGGATTACATTAGGATCTCAGAGCTTTTTCCTCTTTTAAGCCCTTAAATTGGCCATTGCAGCCAAAAAGGTCCAATGCTGGCCCCGTCTCTTTCCAAACACAGCCAGCATTACTTCTGGATTCCCTAAAGTGTGGGCTAGGCCTTAGTTATTCTGCTGTACCACTAGATTGGCCTCTTGAAAGCTGTCATCAGCATTTCGGGTGTACATATTGTTCTATCCTAACTATAGCCCACCCTTACCACTGACTGTGTGTGTTTCAGAGTTGTTCTGAGTTTCCATTCCATGTCATCTCTCCTTTTGGTGATGACTTCAGAAGAAAAACTTCTAATTTCCAACCGCAATTACTTATACACCTTTGGGCCACAGAATATGCCATCTTTTTAGATGCAGAGTGAACAGCTGTGACTTGCTTTCTTTTTCCACTTCTCACAGGCTAGTTCCTTTCATTGAAACTGAGACAAAGAATACCGGAGGTAGGCTGAAGGGGAAACTTGCTAGCTAGCTAGCACGTGGTCCCACATGTAGCTCTCCCTTTCGTTATTAGGTCTGGATGTGTAAAAGACTGAAGAAAAGTCTTCATAGATGCAGCCTTTGACTTCTGTTTTTTTAAAGTTTTATATTTAAATGTGTTATGAGAGGACTGAAAATAGAGGAACTGGGAGACATCTGAGTGTCATAATCCAGGCTTACTTGGATTTTTCCTGTCAGTTACCAGACTAAAATAAATGTTATCTCCTTGAGGAACATAAGAATAAGACTGAAGACTTCCTTAGATCTGACCAAGGTGCTGGGCCTATGCACTGAATGGCTGAATACTTGCAAGAGGAGTTTGCCACTTCCAAATAATATTCACTTTCTTTTCTTGTACCTATCTCCAGGCATTACTTCCTCTTTTTCTGTGCCTACAGGAGCTATTGGACTGTACAACATTGGACAGAGCTGCTGTCTGAACTCTCTACTCCAAGTGTTCCTCATGAATATACACTTCACTGGGATACTTCGAAGGTACCACCTGTTCGAACTCCTTGAGATACTTCTATTGTTGCTCTGTTGTCTCCACTCCCTTTTTATACGGGACGTACATTTGAAGGCTGGGATCATCAAGGTGCCAGCAAGGTGCTTTCAGCTTACTCAGCAAGGTCTCTGCCTTGTCGTGTCTGTCATATACAGACTAGGGCCTGTGAAGGTTGCAGAAGGAAGAAGTTGCAGTTTTCTGACTTGTTAGTCATCTCTGATTCATGTGCCGGTTGCACATTGGTAAGGGGCAGTCCTGAACACTGAGTCTTTATGACTTGTATCTCTCTTTTCTATAAGGATATGATTTTATTCCAGTATGCTCATAGCCCATTATAACTAAAGGATATGTCATAGCTAACCATATCCACTATTTATTTTTTTAGTTTTAAGTGTGTAAACATAAACATATTGGTGATCTATAGTCTCTGGCCCCCCAGTTGTCCTGGCTAATACCTGACAGAGAAGAGGAAGTGTTGTTGCAGATAGCAGATACGTAGTGTTATTTTGTTTTGCATGACTGCTGTCTACTTGTTTGAGAGGAGGATTTGGGCTTCTGCCTCCCTACCAACCATAATAATAACAGGTCTGATTTGTTTTCGGTTTGCTCAGTTTGCTGCAGCTTTAATCGTTTAAGTGGCTCATTCCTATTCAGTCCTCCTTTCTCCAAATTTCTTACATGCTAACCAGTGTGCGGAGGGGGAAGAAGACAAGTTATAGGCATGCAGAGATGAGAAGTATCATAAATGGGCAAAGCTACGTAATGTAGACGGTAGGTGACCATTGTTATTTGAAGAAAGACTTAGAAAAACCTGTGGACTGCAATAAATTTAGAGAGGATAAAGAGCTTTTCAGTTGGCACATAGTTGAAATACAAGCATTATGATATACGTGCCCATGGAATTATGACAGTATGTTGGGAATGAAGGCATGAACAGGTGGGAGGTAAGAACAGCTCTGAAAGTGGCTGTAACTAATGTTGTTTCTAGAGCCCAGAAACTTCAGGTCCTGATTGGTTTGGTTTTGTTCAGGAACAGGCCAACTTAAAATTGTGGCCTTTTACTTTAGAACTGTCCGCCTGCACTGTAGGATGAGTTAGTGCAGGTATCTGCTTCCCCATTTTCTTTCTTCTGCTAAAAAGATGCCCATCCTGGTTCCTCTTGAGTTGCTATCTGTGCCATCCACCTTTGCTCCTTCAGGTGTCATGTCTAATATTTCTCCATTGTACCGTTTGATTACCATTCATGTTGCTTCTTCTCTTTATAGGATCACAGTGCCACCACGTGCTGTGCAGAAGAGGAAGAATGTCCCATACCAAATGCTGCTGCTGTTGGAGGAGATGCAGTGCAGCAAGCAGAAAGCTGTTTCTCCCGTAGACCTCGCTCACTGTCTTTCAGTATACAAAGTGAAATGTAAGTAGTGCCGCCCCATGCCCACCTCTGTCTGCAGACCAGGGATTTTGATTATCAAGCACTAACAAGGAGTGCAGACTCTGACATCTCATTCAGAGATTCAGAAATATGAGGAGTTAGGTACACGATGACATGGTCTTTATAGCTGCCTCCCAGTTGTGAGAGATATTGTCTCTTACTTGTGAAGAGGGGAAAAAAAGCCCCTACCAGCTATCCTTGCTGATGTCTAGAGGGTGGGAGGACTATCAGAGTGCCAGAAGACTCAGCTACTAGCCAGAGGGAAAGGGCTGTGCAGAGCAGGGAGAGGACAGCTTATAGCTTGATTTGTCTTGCTATACTGGCATGATAATAGTGAAACAGCTGCCATTTTTTTATTAGAAGGAAGGGATCATGTGGAAAAGATACTGAGTTCACCCAGATCCCCAAGGACTGAAACCATATCCTTCTTGCTTCTTGTTATGAGGGCAGAGAGAAGAATTTGTTGGCTTAACCTCCCACCTGGGCAGGGTCCCAAAGGAGAGAGATTGTTAAATGCACGGGTGACCGGTGACAATGGGATGCTGAGGCTCTGTTTATGTGTACAAATACACACAGTATATCCAAATGCCCTGATCTTTGTCATATAAAAGCACTGAAAAAGCACAGGACAGCACTGAAAGAGAGAGATGGTAGCCATCGCAGACCTTTCTTAAGGAGGAACATGACATAACCTGAATACTTCTGTTTGCATAATTTTTCCCCCTGAGACTCAGTGGCTCTGCATTCTGCCTTCTCTATTCCAATTAGAGGTGCCCAAAGAGATTTTGTAAAGCTTGACAGTTTCCCACCTTGTCCTTCTCCTTTAAAATTCAGGTGTGGTTCATAGAGTCCTATATCCCAGCAAGCGATGCTTTTCCTGGATTGCAGATGTGCTGTTAGACTTGAGGAAAGGTGTATTTTCTGAAGCTTCATTTAATCAGGGAAGTCTGTAATCTTACTAGAACCCAGCTGAAGTCAGTACCTGCAAACTTGCAGGGAAGTTGAAAGCACTTCCACCTCAGGATGTTGGATTATTCCACAAAATTTCTTTCGGCTATGATCAGCATAGAGGTGGTCCAGAACTATCAAGATTTTGCTAAACTATGCGTAGTTTTTGCCCAGTTCTTAAATCTTGAGTTTATCATGGGCTGAAAACATCAGTTCTTTGCCTTCAAGGATGTGGATTTCCCACACACACCTCCCAAATTCAATCTCGAAGCAGCTCTCTGCTGAGCCATTCTAAGCAAGCTGTGCCTTGAGCTGTATTCCACCACCGTAGGTTTCTCAATATGCTGGTTTAGCCAGAGTGGAAAGCCAAAGCATAATGTTACTACATCGTCCTTTGCTTCCTGTGCTGAAACTGCGTGCTTTTTCCCTGGGTAGAGATCAAAGGGTTTATGCCGTTCTGTGGACGAGACATATGGATAGGCCTCCCTATCCTTTTAATCTCGGTACTCAGGAGTGTTATAGCCTTAGAGAGAGGATGGGGGAGACAAGTCTGTGGAGTAACAAAGGTCAAAAAGAGAACAGAATCTTCCTTGTATTGTTTCTAAGAAGGACTCAAATACATGCAACCCTCAACTCAATGAGACATCTGAGCTCTATCCTCCAGTAGGTATTGGGTGTACTCTTGGCTCTGTGTCTGGTGATAAGGACATGACTTTTGCACTGGGTTGTACAATGGGGGACTCAAGCCCTCCCATCTTTTCCCACTGCCTGCTCAGGTCACATGAGACATTGTAGCTTGTCTCTAGTCTAAGCTCTGTCCCTGGCAGGCAGTGGCAAGGGAACAAGAGACCGGATCTAATGCGGGACAGCAAATCTCCCTTTACCATCTGTGGGAAATCTGTGTTCGGTGCTGTTCATAATACTGATTGAGGTTGTGTTTTCTGTTTGTCCAGTGTTTGTGCAGCATGATGCTGCCCAGCTCTTTCTGACTCTCTGGAACTTGATAAAGAGGCAGATGAAAAATCCAGAGCTGGTAAGGATCGTCACTGAAATGAACACCAGGTCCTTTGGTCCTCGTCATGTGTGGCTTCCTCCGCTTCTTGAGGAAGAATCCCATTCACTGACAATTGTCCTAAATTAAATTCTTAAAATTATCTCCTACTTGGATATTTCCTCACATCTTTCAAATGGGAGAAGGAATCTTGATTTCATAGGCTTCAACATTTTCAATCTCAGTTAACTTTTGTTCATCCTACTTTTAGGGCATGCCAGGGTCTCTGTTCTAATGGGAGAGCTGATTAACAACAAAAAGATTGGTATTTTTGCAACACAATTTAGTCACCTTGCATTTCTTTCCCCCCCCCCCAAATTTCCATAAGCATTTATTGGCATGTCTTGACACAACTCCTCCATTCTTTGAAGTCAGCCATGTGCATTTTGTTATTATTAGTCACTGTTAGTATGTTATTTATATGACATGTATGTTCCTCCCAGGGGGGAGCTGTGCAAGGTAAGAGAAAAGTGACTTTTCCTCAACCCACTGTCATAGTCTTGCTCATACAGAAGACAGGCTCCTGTTGAAGTTCCAAACAAAACAGTAAAATTCTGCAGTAGACATTCAACTGTCTGATCTTGTTATAGGCTGTGTCTTGCCC